GGGACCGCTGGTCCCCTATCGCCACCCTCTGTCCCCGACCTTGGAGAAAAGAGGTAAGCCATTGAAGGGCAAGCCCCTGAAGCCCCACGTTGGCGAGGCGGCGAGCCAGCAACTGGTGGTCGACCATGTCAAACGCAGCCGACAGATCTAACAACACCAGTGCCGCCACACCGCCCCGATCCAGATGCCTATGGAGATCGTCAGTCAGAGTGACCAATACCGTCTCCGTCCCGTGACCTGGGCGGAACCCGGACTGGAAGGGATCGAGGATGGAAGCCTCATCCAGGTAGCCCTGTAACTGTGATGCCACCACCCTCTCAATAAGTTTGCCCAAATAGGGCAAGTTGGATAGTTGGCCAATTCGGCTGGGTCCAAAGATGTTTTTTTTCAAGAGAGGGCGGACCATCGCTTCCTTGAGTGCTCCTGGGAACCGTCCCTCCATGAGGGACTTGTTGACAATCTCCCGTAGAGCACCTCGCAGCCCCTCGTGGCCAGCTTTAATCAGCCAAGAGGGGCACGGGTCAAGGGCTATTATCTGCAGGGCTATTTTTGGGGCGGAATGCACTGGAACAGCATTCCGGCTGGCGTCCAAGCCTGCTCTGTCCCTCGCTCCGCCCCTCCCTGTCCAGGCGGAGGAAGGGCTACAGAAGGGGTGCCTTTTCCACTGGGAATAGGCCCCCGCTGCCGGAGGATGCCAGTGGTGGCTTTTGCTTTGGCGGTGGAATGAGCAGCCTGGCCACCGCAGGAGCATCACTGGCACCGTCTGGCTCTGTGGCCAATCTGGGCGCCCTGCGCCATCCCGCCCTGCCCCAGCGCTGAGAGGGGGAGCATGCGGCCAGGCACGCAGGCCAAGGCAAAGGTGACGACACAGGATTCACTCGTGCAGGAGCTCCAGTGGACAGGTGACAAGCACTCCCTCCCCCCCAGGAGACTGATGGGCCAGCCCTTCCTCCTCACCCCCCCAATCTGGCTGCCTCCAGGCTGACTGCAGGCCGAGACGTGGAGAACTTGCGCGGGGCGGCCCCTGGCCACGCCTGTGGGAATTTCTCTACTGTTTCACTGCGATTGCTCAGCTCACCTGAGCACAGCCTTCTGCAGGTACCTCCTCCTCCTCCTCTCGTAGGCATAGAATACAGGGGGGCGCAGGAGCGTGTCCCTCCCTGACATTTTCCAGAGGGAACTGACCTCCCACTGGGCTCCTGAGTCCCACCCCCCCAGCCCCCCAGCCCCCAGCAGCTATCAGGAAATTAGGCAGCAGGAAGCTGCCAGGCTCCTCTGTGTTCCTCAGCTGTTTGGTAAAAGGCACCTGCCTAAGGACCTCCTCCAGCCAGCCCGATCCATTGGCACAAAAAAGA